CCTGACCTTTGGCAACTCAAGGCGGGCCCCCTGGGGCTCATTTCCCTTCTGGCTCTCCCTGCAGAGCCGGCCGCACGCTGGGGGGAAGCTCTAAGGCAAACTCACCTCCTCTGTATGAAGGGCTGTGGGAATCACCCACATGTCAACCTTAATTCAGGGCTCGGGGTTCAGACCCCAGCATTTCAAATGCATATTCTATCAAGGAAGAATTTTAAGTTGTTAACAATCTAATTTCACCAAAAATAATTTCAAGGCACCCTTGTAACGAGCCCATTCCATTAACTGTAAATGTACCAAATTTCAAAAACACTGCAATGGCGCAAGTTTACTGAGCCAATTATCCAATCTAGGATAAAGGCTTGTATTTTCCTGTAACCACCAAGTTAAAAAAAAAAAAAAAAAAAAAATCCCCTTCTCAGACAGCAGACCTGGCTATGACATCCCAAATCGTGCAAACGAAACACAACAGTAACCTACAGCTTTAAACTGCAGCTTCTGTAAAATTAAGCCACATCCAGGACGCCAGCAGCCACTAACTGCCTGGAAAGCCAGTCCAGTCCTTCGTAGAGCCCTGTGCCACTCCGGGCATCACAGCCCTGTATGTACCAGCTGCGGCCACAGCAGAGCTTGTGGAGGCTCAGCAGCTCCGTGATCTCTTCCACTGCCAGCGCACCTGCTACATCCTGCAACAGAAGCAGACACAAAGCCTCAGTTACTCTCCTGTATTACTTTTACAGCATTTTATTTACAACCAATGGCTTAGACTGAAGCTACACAAGCCAAATAAAACAGTTACACAGTTACTACTTGGTACCGTAAAACAAAAACTGGTTGTTGAATCCACTAAGCACTCCACCATCACTTATTTTACTGGCATTAAACATAAGGAAAACATCTACGTTCTGTGCTTTCCACATTACCATTCCCTACGTATAGCAGAGGGTTCAGAAAGTTGGAATTTGACACACAAACTGAGGAAGAGAGTAACAGAGTGAAAAAAATCACAAGTACCTGTTTATTAGCAAAGATCAAGAGCAAGGCATCCCGCAATTCCTTCTCTGTTAATAATTTTGCAAGTTCACTGTGTGCTTCACTGACCCTGTCTCTGTGACTGCTATCAACAACAAACACCACAGCTATGAAAGAAAGAGAGAAATTTTTTACACACATTCAGATATAAATGCTGTAAAAGCAGCTTTCAACTTACACAACTCTTTTTTTCTAGCAGTCTTCTACGTGAAGTTCCTCAGCAATGCTCAGATTAAATTTCAAATCCAGGAGGACTGAGAAATACCTTGCATACCTCTGTACTTTTGAAAAAAAACTAGAATTCATCCTAAAACAGGGAAAAGATGTCTGAAGTTTTTTGCCTGGTCTAACATAAAGGCTGGGATATTTTAACTACTTAAAACCAGATTTACTACATGTGGATTGAGCATCTCAGTTTAAACCGCTTCTTGATCCATTTACACTCCCACATGACTCTTCCAGTTTCCCTTAACCAGCTGCAAAACCTACAGGTTCAGCCACATCAGCAGAACTTCCTTCAGCTGCAGACTACACAATCCAGAGAAGATTGTCATGGACCTGACACGGCAGCAGCAGACTTTAGTATCCACTACAGAGAGTTGACAAGATGCCAGCACAACTGGAGAATCAGGGAGGCAGAGCTACAGGACAGAATTTAAACTCTGGGTTTTGCAATGAAAAAAACCCCAACAACAAAACTAAACAAAACCTACCGCAGGTATGCGGCAGGTTAACTGCCTAAATTTCTCTCCAACATAAAATCCTCCAAGGCAGACATGATTCCATGTTACTGGTGTTTGCACAGTAAATTTTAAGAGGACAACAGAAATCCCAAAATACAATTTTTAAGTTTGAAAAGATGAACCATTTAAAATGTTGTTTGTAGTGATGGCTGACATAATGCACAAAGTGGAACACAAACTGATTTTTGTCATTCCTAAGTATTTCAGATAGTTCTGAAGGAATTAATGAAGAGAAAAGTTAGAAAGCCTTCTAAATTGGAAAACAACTATGGAGTATTTACAGAAGGACAGCAGAAATTTCTACGTCAGCACCATTTAGATGCATGTGTTCAGAATCAGCAGTCTAGTCTATTACCAGACATTACACTGCAATAGTGAGTCAGAAGTCACAGAACTTTGCAGAATTTTTTTAAGTTGCCAACTAAAGTCTCCTAAAGGCTGAGGATCTTCATCTCAAGTGCTATTTAAATTTCATACCTGGCAACTACTCACTACTTCTCACTATGCACACTTTGGAATGCTGCACCTTGTCTGTTGTCAGCTGGAACCAGTTTAACAGAGATTCTGATTTTTTTTTTTTTTTGGCTCCATGAATTGCCTGATGGATTTGGGGAGAATGCACCCTTATCATGCAGCAGATGCTATGACTAACTGGATTAAAATTTCTTAGATCATGAATCTAGCAGCTGTAATATGCAGCAGATGAACAATTTTCTCGAGTTACAGATTATTTCTATTAATAACCTTTTTGGGTCTGAAATACAAGCTAGAAGACAACATACAGTTAAAAAGTTGTATTAGTCTCACCCTGTGTATTGAGATAGTAATGCTTCCACAAGGGCCTCAATTTGTGTTTTCCTCCTACATCCCAAATAGTAAACTTCAAATTCTTGTATTCTACTGTTTCAACGTTAAAACCTAAAATAAATAAAAAAAAGTTTTATAGTCTTGTTCTGTATTAATATAAAATAATCAAATTCTACTTAAAGTCAAACATTCAGAAAAATCATTACATTTAAATTGTTGCTACTAACCTATTGTTGGAATTGGCTGCATGAATTCATCTTGCTTTAACTTAAACAAAATAGTTGTTTTACCAGCTCCATCTAATCCTAGAGTGACAACTCGAATTTCCATTTTTGGTCCGATATGTACCCTGTTGTCCTGGAAGAAACAGCATATACAAAACAATTGCAAGTTCAGGAAATTCAAATTAGAAAACCCTTTTGTTTAAGATACTTATCTTGTCACTATTTGCAAAGTGATGGACAGACTCCAAAAATACAAGGTACAATCACCAATCGCCTCCAGCCACAATATAAACCAAAACATTCAATAATCTCTGTAGTGAACCTGTAACTTCTGCCTAAGTTATCACACACCTTTCAGAAAGACAGCCAATCTCTTCCTAATATGTCTGTACTTGATAAAATTTCAAATTCTTTCACCATTCTTGGCTCACACCATATGAAGAATTGTTTGTAGCAATTATTTAGAATTCTCTGACCAGAAAGCTCTCTGTTGGTTTTGTAGCCTTTCCACTGTGTACTGTCATACTACTAATGCCCCCATCTACAGAACAATTTCCTTGCTGGAGGTTCCATAGCTACGCCTCTTCACCCCAAGCCACTTCCAATCCTTCACCACATTACAACAGCAACATTATTAGCATTAAGCAGTAACCTGAAATAGTGAAGAAAAACAAGCAAACAAAACCCCAAGTCTTGCTTGGAGGCAGGGATAGAGAATCAACTTCCTCTCTGTAGTTTAGACCAAGCTACCACGGGTATTGAACGAGCTTATGCTAACAATGCCATCAAGTAGTATTACTAACAAAAAGCAGCAAACTATAAATTATAAAATAAACACAGGCTAAGTTTACTATGTCTCCCTGAAGCATATTTTGAAGTACTCAGAAATGCCACCTTGGTGCAAAAAAAAAAAGAAGATTAAATCATCAGAACTATGTGCCATTTGTGAAATAATTATTTTCTTTGAATCTGTGAAGTAAACTTGTACACACTGAGCAGTTTCAGTGCTACAGCTTTGATACTACACAAGGCAGATGCTCCAAAAACAAAAGACTAACTGAATATTTGGATCTGGAAAATAAAACACTGAGACTTAATTCCTTTGTAATAAATTTCCTCCAAGTTCTAGATACTTGGATTCAGAGCTGAAGTTGCCAGATGCAGTGACAACATTGCAACATGGCAAGTTTTCAGAAAGTTATCTTCTTCTGGAGAAGAAAAACATGTGGACAGATTCTTGACAAGCATGTCAGGTGGAAAGGTACAGCAAAGAGAAAGAACACAAAGAAGTATGCAAAAGGCACTTGAAGAGTCTAAAAACTGATATGCCTCCAGCACCCCTTTCACACTCAAGTCTCAGTTCTGGTTTTGTCTAAAACTTCCAAGGATGGATCTTCCCAGTTCTTCTCTGGGCCTGAAAGGAAATAGGGCAGAAAAGAGGCAGCTCTGGATAGAGCTGCTAAGCTTACAGGTTTCCTGCTGGAGGCAGCACCCTGGCTATGGCCAGAGCTTGCTGACAGTGAGCCAGCCTGGCCATCCTCTCAGGGCTCCACCAGAAGCACCAGTCACCTCTACAGCTCCCTTGTTTGGAGGGCAGAGCCACTGCTGGCCTATGAAACTTAAAGCATCAGAGAGGTGTAGGAGGTGAATGATTCTGTCATATTCAGCCACTATATTGCAGTTTGCTTTTTGTAAGGTTTAGAGTGGAAACAGGTTATTATCAGTATGCTTGTACTCTCAGAAGGAATCAAACTGTGATGGATGCCAAATTTCCACTTTCTGTGAGAGCAGTTCTGTCATTTCAGGAATAACCTTGCAAGAAATGCTGCTACTCAAAAAACAATGTGATTTTGTGATACGAGTCAGAAATAATTATTGATGATCATAGCTAGAAACTGACAGATCAAGAAAACCCCTCTGCACCAACTCTATCAGCATCTTTAATCAAAGATGTTATTTTAAAACGTCTAGCCACTAAAATTGTATCACATCTACATTTTTGGCAGGTACATAACTTGATAAGATACTTGAAAACAGGTAACCTGTGCCTTCAGTTCAAATAAAACTTGGCGTTTTCTTAAATCCCCCTCTACTCTGCTCTGGTGAGACCCCACCTGGAGTACTGCATCCAGTTCTGGAGCCCCCATTACAAGAGGGACGTGGACCTGCTGGAGCGTGTCCAGAGAAGGGCCACCAGAATGATCCGAGGGCTGGAGCAGCTCTCCTGTGAGGACAGACTGAGAGAGTTGGGGCTGTTCAGTCTGGAGAAGAGAAGGCTCCAAGGTGACCTTCTTGTGGCCTTCCAGTATCTTAGGGGGGCCTACAAGAAAGCTGGGGAGGGACTTCTTAGGCTATCGGGTAACGACAGGACTAGGGGGAATGGGGCAAAGCTGCAAGTGGGCAGATTCAGGCTGGACATGAGGAAGAAGTTCTTCACCATGAGAGTGGTGAGACCCTGGAATGGGTTGCCCAGGGAGGTGGTTGAGGCCCCATCCCTGGGGGTCTTTAAGGCCAGGCTGGATGAGGCTCTGGGCAGCCTGATCTAGTGGGAGGTGTCCCTGCTCATGGCAGAGGGGTTGGAACTGGGTGATCCTTGTGGTCCCTTCCAGCCCTGACAGATTCTGATCTGTTTTAGCAGAGGACTTTAGAGCCCTAATGGCTCAATGGTTGGACTTGATGATCTTGGCGGTCCCTTCCAACCTAAAGGATTCTATGATTCTATGATTCTAAATCTCAGTACCAGAAGTGCAGAAGAAAAACTCACAAGAAGAAAAGTTGTGATCTCTTGTTTTTTGTCCCTGTCCTTTGTCTTTGCTAAGGAATTTGTTGACGTGACACAAGCTGTAGATAGGTTTACTTACAGATAGTGCTAAAGGTCTTCTCTCTTATAGATCACTGTCTTCATGGGTACTCTTGGTGTTGGTAACAGTTAGCAGTTTCCCATACATGCCTAAGTGCCCTTTACTATCTTAAGTAATGTTTTCTCAGTAATTTTCCTTCTCCCCAATATGCACATTCAAATATTCAGTTACTATTCCTGTACGTAACACTGCACAGCCACTGCTCTCATTTGACCAGGACCAAAAGCACAATCTGCCTTTTCAAATAAGGATCACGCTCCTGGATGAGGAGTCATTTCCTTGCCAAGAAGCTAAGAACACGAAGGCATTTCAACCTTATTCGGTCAGAGTACTCA